GCGCTCGCCAGAGACGTCAGAAGAACCGCGGCGCGGCGCGCTTGACGTCACCCTCCAATCAACGGCAGCTCGGAAAGTCCGAGGAAGAGCCGCTTAGTCTGGTCACGTGACGGCATTGCCCAACCTGCCCTCCAAGACCCCGGAACCGAGACTCCTACAGGGGTGGGCAGAGGCCGCGGGAGGTCATGTGATCCGGCCTTCCCCCTCCGCTTTTGGGCAGTGCCTGAGGGAAAGCTGATAGAGATGCAGCCTTGTTAGTCTGGTGTAGCTGAAACAAAAGACAGGACTGTGTAAAGACTAACAAGATGGTTTATTAGGTGATGAGCTTTCGTGGGCCAGACCCACTTCCTCAGATCAATATGTGGAAGAAAATTGGCACAACCATATATACCAAAGGATACAATTAAAAAAAATGAACACATATGAAATTGATAAATCAAATTTTAGAACAGAGTGGGGGCTTGTGCAAAAAGCCTGCAGTGTAGATGTAGCCCTAGTGTCCAGAACAAGTGTACATAACATACGGGAGTTTACCCCTAGGGCAGCCTGGGGAAACCCTAGGGCAGAAGAAAGGTCAGGGGAAACTCTTGATGTAGTGTCCCAGGGAAATCTGTTGCAGCTGGGCAGCGATTCTCATTCCTGCCAGAGAGCAGGGGGTTTCTTTCCTGAAAAAGTGTTCTCTGTGCAGGTGTAACTTGGGAGAGCACTGCAGGGAAGATTGAAAGTTAGTAATGGCCACTCATTTCCACAGACTGTGTTCATCCTGGAAGACATTTCACTGTTTAGGGTGATGAGGGAAGTAAAGAAGGGTCTTTTACTTGACTATGGGGTTCCATTCAAGAACCTTTGTCTTAGTGCAATAAGAGTTCCTTCCTCCCCCTGGCTCACAGCATGGTGGTGAGGGAATATCAGCCTTTGGGACTAAATACCATGTTTGCTTTGCTAGCTAATTTGATCAGGGTGGCATAGCAGTTGCATGACTCTTGATGAGGTCTATGAGACAGATTACCAAAATGTAAGAGGTTGCATCAATGGTCTGTTCGCCATCTGACCAACTCTGTGCTGGAAGCAACATCACACAGAATCAAAAGGCCTACTTGTTTCTGACCAACTCTGTGCTGGTAGCAACATCACACAGAATCAAAAGGCCTACTTGTTGTAACCCTCCCTCTTCCATGTTGCATGAATGCTTTCTAACTCACTAGGCACATCATTCATAGCTTCCAAGGTCTGCAAGTGGCTCCTCGCATGAAGGATAAAAAACAGTTCCTCACTGCAAGCCACTGCAGATGCTGAGTTCTCTTCTGAGTCTCCCTCAACCTGCTCAGCCATGACTTCCTCCTTCTGTCAGTCTAGTGTGGATAGCCCAAGTCCCCGAAGTATCCACATGAGTCTTTGAAAGAAGTTGGAATCACCTCCAAGTATATCAGCTAGCTCTTTGCCAAACCTGCCAAAAGCCAGAGTGGTGATTTGCTTCCTGTGTCATGTGGTTGGCATTTTGCAGCTCCTTCACTTTGTCCCTGCACTGCAGCGAGTCCCGATCATGGCCCCTTTCAGTCATGCATCTTGTGCCCATAAATATCATAATTCCTACAGTTGGAGCGCAACTGGGATTGGACTGCCTCCTCTCCCTAAATGCTGATGAGACCAGCACGTTGGCTTGTCTCCAAACAGGGAATCTCCCTGGCATGGCCTGAGGAGAGATGCACTGAGAAAACACAACACATCACCACGCAAATAGGAAGGAGACTTTCAAATTTCAAAAATGCAAAGGTGGGTCTCAGGGTTCGTCATCTGAGTGCAAGGCAATAGAGTTCAAACAGATGATCAGAGAGGCAAGTGCATGATACAGTACTACATCATGGTATCTACACTAGCATCACAATGCTGAGTCCAGAGCACAGCAAGCTCTATGCTTCTCACCAAGATGCTTTACTTCGAACATACTAATTCTGCAGCTAATGCAAATTTAGTGGCATCCAGTGTGAACACCTCAAATGTTACAGCACCAGGGGCTGATTTACTGCACAGTAACTTGCCAGTGTAGACTTACCCTTAGAAAAACATCAAAATAGGTGTAGCCAATTGGCTAGTTTGCTTTTGTTATATTCACTGCTACATTATACTCTGTTTTATTATATTCATCAGCAGTAATGCAAGCAACCTACAGGCTTGCATCCTGTAAGACATTAGCTTTGGCAAATTAGTATGTCTACAGACAATCTCTAAACAAATAAGCTTTGTATAGACCTGGGGTGAGCAAAAAGGCTACTGCAGGCAGGATGCAGCCCGCCAAGTGGGTTAATCCAGCCCATAGAGGTCCTGCCACTCCCCCGTCCCTGGCCAATTAGGGCCTAGGGACAGGAGAGCACACAATGCTTAGAGTTAACCCAGGCAGTTGACTAAGTACCACGTGCCAGAGGGCAGAGAGGGAGACTTCATGCTCCACCCTCCACTCCCAGGCCAACGAGGCCTGGGACTGGGCATGCAGTCTGTGCCTGCCCCGCAAGGGGCTCAGCACTTACAGAGTCAACCACCAGTTGCTAAACAGCAACTGGCAGTTGACTTAAGTGCTTAGCCCCTTGCAGGGAAGGGGCAGACTTCACACACTCCACCCGAGGCCTTGATTGGCCTCGGGGTGGGGGAGAGAGAGCACACAGGGTCTCCTCCCACCATTGGGGCAGACACCTAGAGGGAACTACCAGCTGTTCAGAACAGCTGGGGGGAGGGGAAAGAAGAGAGAGTAAATACAATCAGACCTGTGGACTAAGCAGCACAGAATTATCCAGGCCCCAAACCTTCCACCTGAGGCCCTGCCCCTTCTGCAGTGGCCCAGAATTCAAAGATTTCCTGAAAGAAAGTGGAATCACCTCCAAGTATATCAGCCAGCTCTTTGATGTGGTTACAG